GTCTGGGAGTTCAAGTAGTTGCCCGGGTAACCTGGACTGAGGATCACGCCGGAAGACTCTGTCCGGACTTCGTTCGCTGGGCATTGCGCTAACGAGAAAAGGACCAGTAAACGTTTTCCTCAACAGAATGAACTGAAATTCCATAGGGCAGGGTCTCCCCCCGTATATACAAGCCGATGGAAAGACACAGCTGAGCTATGACTGAATCTAACACAGGAGACAGACACGGCAGACCAACACGGAATAAAGTAACACTGTAATATCACCATATACTTTAAAAGACAATTACACATACATCACATATGTTGATATGTAGGGTGATTAGATAGATGACATAGATAGATGATAGGTAGATCAATGATAGATGACAGACAGGTAAGTAGATAATGATAGACAGGTAAATAGATGATAGACAGGTAGGCACATCGATCCTATTTAACTCTAGGGTCAAAGAGGTTACGTCTTCAACCCAGCCCCAGGGCGGCCAAATGTGGGGTGGTTGTCACACGGACAAGAAACGCTGACCCCGAGTGGTCTCCGCATGGCCGAGGTAGTGAAGCATTAGGCCCACTCCTGCTGCCTGGTCCTTCATGCGCGAAGCAGGGTTCTGGGGGAGGGCGGCCTTCCTCTCACCCCGCCCACGCCACCTGGGGAGGAACTGTCCTCACCCCTTAATTCAGGGCAGGTGCCCCGTGGATTCCGCCCAGAGTCCCGGGTTTTCCCCAACTCAACTAAAAAGTAAGACCTCACCTCTTCAGAGTAGCATTGCAAAAATAATGTGAAATTTTATGCAATAACAGAAAGTTCGTATTTATTTCTGCCTTGGAGTTTACTTTTCATTATATTTATAACAGAAATTTTAAATTTGTCGGGCTCGCTTGGGACTCTGGAAAATCAGAGACTCCTGGGCTCAGCACCACATCGCATCCCTGTCTCTCGTTTGTAAAGGAGTGGCCTCCAGCGGATGACTGTATCGTGGTGAGTCCTTCAGATAGTGCCGAGGCATTGACATTTTCCCTCCTGCTTCCTTGNCTGGTCTCCTTGTTATTGCTGTCTGAAGAGATAATGTATATTCCAAAATAAAATGCCACTGGGAAATTAATTAACCTGAATTTATGAAATTCAAAACTGTCATTTTGCATGACAGAACTCAAGAGTAAATCTTCAGGTACTGTTAATCCAACACCTAATTCTTCACCGTCTTCCATCTGTTCTCTTTGCCTGTCATGTAACAAACTTTCTAAAGGACTGTTCTTTCAACGAGGCACAAGAAGACGAGTGACAGACATAAGGGGAGTAAGTGCTGCTTGCACTAAGATGGAAATTATTAGGGTTTTTACAAGTGAACACCCCAATCTTCATTTTGACACCTTTCTTGGTTGAATTCTATAATGACTAAAACTTATTTTTTTTTAAATTAAGAAATAACTACTATTGGACCTGTCGAAAGGAATATACTCCTGGGCTAATAAAGTTTAAAATCAATGTTTTCAGCATTTTTTTTGGTCTCAACTCATGAGCCATAAAAGAGTCATTGTCTTATAAAAAAAGAAAAAAAAAGAATGAGATGAGACGAACATGACATTTACTGCAACAAAAATGCCAATGCTTAAAAACAGGTGTATTCACATAAGACTCTGACCTTTCGTTTTGTAGAAAAATCTTTGAGACCAGGCCCAACCTAGTCACAGATCTCTATGACAATTCTGACAGCAAGTGCTGTGACATTGGCTCTATTATCTGCTTTGCTGGCTGACAATGGGGGACCTGTCCACACCTGGGGAGAGCAGGTTGTAAGCATGCAGGGCACGCGTCGGTGACACTGATTTTGCTCTTGGCGTTAGACGATGCAGACGCAGAGCCAGAGAAAGTCTAATTCAAGTAGGGAAACAACGGAACGAGCCGAAAATGTAACTGCTAAGTGTATTTCATCATGTACAGCATTCTATTAGGTTGTCGGAAAAGTCGTGATGTATTTTTTCTATGTTTTTTGTTGCAAAAATG